TATGATGTTAATCTATACTTCGGTAAGATTACTCACGTACCCGCCCAGCGCAGGGCCTCAGGTCCCGTAGCTGCCTCAGAAGTAGCACTCTAATTTCCATCTTTTGCATCCGCTCCCCTCCCTTCCTTCTGTTATTTTCCCTTTGATGTGTTCTGAGCCAGATCAGCACGTTTTTCTCCTGCGCGGCCTCTAGGTTGTCTGTGCCTCTCAGAGCGTGGCCCCCAGAGTTAAATGTAATGTGATCTGGGAGAGGTGAGGAGTTGAGGTTTCTTACTTGGATCACCTTCCATTCCCCTCCCCCTTCTTAAAAAAAAAAAGGAGTAACAGTGATTTTCAAAGAATGCATGTGCAAGGAGACTGCCTATGGAATGAGTGCAGGAGAAGCAAGTCGCAGCAGAACTTGTTGCTGGTGTGGTGGGGATTCCTGCCCAGCCATGAAATAACAGTGGGCTTGGTACATCTCTAGGTGTTCATTGTTCTTATTGCTTGAATTATATGAATTATGCTCTAGAACATTAAAATGATTTTTAGCAGCTAAATGGATAAAATACTCCCCCTCTCTTTGGTCCCTAATGAAATAATGTGGAGACTTTGAATGAATTCAGTCATGAACTTTCATATAAGAAGGGACTTTATTTTTTAATTGTTTAAAGTATTACATATGTCTCCATCCCCCCCCCCATTAACCCCCCCCTGATTGACACCCCCCACCAAACCATTTCCATCCCGGGCAAGCCCCCACTGCCCCAGAGTCTGTGTCCATTAGTTATGCTAATATACATGCATTCAAATCCTTTGGTTGATCTCTAACTCCCCCCTCCCCCCGCCTTCTCTCTGAGGTTGGACAGTTTGTTCAGTGTTACCTTGTCTCTGGATCCATTTTTGTTCATCAGTTTATGTTGTTCATTATATTCCACAAATGAGTGAAATCATGTGATATTTATCTTTCTCTGACTGGCCTATTTTGCTTAGCATCATGCTCTCCAGTTCCATCCATGCTGTTGCAAATGGTAAAAGTTCCTTCTTTTTTACAGCAGCACAGTATTCCATTGTGTAGATATATCACTGTGTTTTAATCCACTCATCTGCTGATGGGCACGTAGGCCGTTTCCAAATCTTAGCTATGGTGAATTGTGCTGCTATGAACATAGGGGTGCATATATCCTTTCTCATTGGTGTTTCTGGTTTCTTGGGATATATTCCTAGAAGTGGGATCTCTGGGTCAAATGGGAGTTCCATTTTTAACTTTTTGAGGAAACTCCATATTGTTTTCCATAGTGGCTGCACCAGTCTGCATTCCCACCAGCAGTACACGAGGGGTCCTTTTTCTCCGCATCCTCGCCAGCACTTGTCGTTTGTTGATTTGTTGATGATAGCCATTCTGACAGGTGTGAGATGGTACCTCAAGAAGGGACCTTCTTTATCTAGGACAGTAGTTCTCAACCTTCCTAATGCCGCGACCCTTTAATACAGTTCCTCATGTTGTGGTGACCCCAAGTTCATTGTTACAAATTGAACATAATTAAAGCATAGTGATTAATCACAAAAACAATATGTAATTATATATGTGTTTTCCGATGGTTTTAGGCGACCTCTGTGAAAGGGTCGTTCGACCCCCAAAGGGTCGTGACCCACAGGTTGAGAACCGCTGATCTAGGAACTAAAGAAAGTAGAGTTTCTCTTTTTCAGAGACGTGTGTTGAGAAGGGACCTCTGTTTTATCTAACTTTTCTGTATTTCATAGATAAAATGAGGTTCTTTGATAAAACTGCCAACCAAGCTGGTAAATAAGTCACACTTTCCAGTGTGCTAGTTAATATGTCTTCACAGCGAAGGAGTAGCAGTAGCCCACCTCCTGTTGCTAACTGCACACGTTCCTTAGCTGCTCACATACAGAACTGGGTTCGGGAAGGTTTGCAAGCCACGATTTTCCTAATAGTGACTGGCTTTGAACTTGGTAAGGACGGATGGATTGAAAGGGTGTGCACTCCCAGCCCAGTTCCTGTGTAGTTTTCATTTCTCGGGACGTCACGGGTGCTAACAGTTTGATTGTGGAGGAAGGGGAGTGGTTAATCCTTCTGTAAACGGTGCAGGCTCAGGGTACCTTCTGGTTGGGTCCTTCTTCGGCTTGTTCCTGTTGTTAAGCCGGGAGTTATTCGGGATTCGTTTTAAGCCCCTTTCAAGTGGAGGACTTTGCAGTTGTGTGTACACACCATGCGGGGCTATGTGAGGAGGAAGCCAGGCTGCCGGAGAGTTTGTCTGCATACGGTGACGACTGATGTTTAAAGCGCAGCCTCCCAAACGGCAGCTAATCACCCCGAGAGGCTGCAGTCTTCCTCCGGCTTGTGGGGCAGCAGAGCTGGGAGCTGGAGCAGAACCCGCCAGCAGGTCAGGCTTCCTCCTGCCCAGGAGCCCTGGCGTGTCTACGAAATGGGACAGTGCACTGCTCACCCCATTAGAGTTCAGGGAGGTCCAGGAATGAACTGTGACTTCATTTCAGCGACTCGGGAGGTTTTCTGGAAGCCCTGCTCGCCTCTAGTGGTTCTCAACCTTCTGGCCCTTTAAATACAGTTCTTCATGTTGTGACCCAACCATAAAATTATTTTCGTTGCTACTTCATAACTGTAATGTTGCTACTGTTATGAATCGTAATGTAAATATCTGATATGCAGGATGGTCTTAGGCGACCCCTGTGAAAGGGTCGTTCGACCCCCAAAGGGGCCGCGACCCACAGGTTGAGAACCGCTGCTCTAGGATTTGTGAGGGAGGCCTTTGATGCCTGGATTGTGGCCCAGGACCTGCTTGAGACCGGAGAGCTGACAGCATAGCATGAGGCGTGCATGAGCCCAGTGTTAACTCCCTTCAATTCATGGTCATAGGCGTAGGTGACTGATGAATGAGATCTTTCCTGCAGTTCTCCACACGTGAGTGATAAGCTAGGCTGGTGGGTCCATCGTTTTCTCTTTATGGCTTCAACACTGTGTTCCTCGGACTGTGAGCCGCCATCTACTCGGGTTCTGCCCCCACAGACTTTTTCAGAATATTTTTGTGAAAAGCCTTTTATACTGAGGTAGTTGTCTTAGGAACTTTACATTGGAGAACTTGGCATGTCAGTTACTCCCATGGTATGAATCAAGGTAAGGAAAGAATGTGTGTGTGTGTGTGTGTGTGTGTGTGTGTGTGTGTGTGTAAAGAAGGGAGGGAGGGAAGAGGAGTGAACTCATGCAAGAGAGCATGAAATTGGTTTTAATTTTTTGGCTTTTTAACATCACTTAATGATAGCAATTAGTTTTCTGAGTTTTTAATTTAGACTAATTTCTCATGGTGATTACACGAGGCAGAAAAAATGTCAGAGACCTTTTCTTAGTCCCAGTACATTCATGTTGGGTGAACACCTAAAATTCCCACTGGGTGGGTTGAGGCCTTGCGTGGATTTCCGTAGAGCTCACAGGCAGCCTTCCGGCTCGGGTCTGTGCCAGCAGCAGCAGCCTGCGTGGACCGAGTGTGCACCACGCGCCAGTGAGGGCAGGGCTGCTCTCCAGTGGGCAGCCGTGTAACACTGACGCTACAGCCCAGCGGGGCCAGGGTCCCCCCTGTCTCTAAGGACTCTGACTCCTGTTGTTTCTTCTTTATTACACAAGCGCATTATATATACTTACCATGTACTCGGGTTGGGACTTAACTAAATTAATCACTTTTGTTGCTTCATCGAGGTCACTCTAAAGAGAGCAGGCTCTTTGGTTGTTTTGTTGCGCTTTGAGCACGTGGGGAGGAGGAACACGGTGGCTCCTTGCTCTGCCCTGCTCTGTGCTGAGGGCCAGCACAGTTCCCACCATTTCACCCATCAGTGCAGCTGGTGAAAGGCAGATACTTACTGTGAAAATAGATTGGCCCCGAAGACTCAGCCAGAAGGGCGCCACAAATCCCCAGTCCAGGGCCCTGGGACAAGTCAAAGGGGACAAAGTGGGACATTGAAAAGCCCCAGCCGTTGCTGCCAGCTGCTGGCGGGGTAGTTTTCACGCCTGTGGCTGGGGAGTCTGGGGGCTGCTGCTGATGGTGTGACACCTCCACCTGGTTCTGTGCATGCTACCAGGGGGCGGCCCATCCAGTGCTCGCTAAGAACCTTTGCTGCAATAGTTGCGAGGCAGCAGCGTGTATGGTCAGTTAACACACAAAGGCGGTTTTTCTCCTAAAGAGGAGACAGGACAGGAAACCGTGAATACAAGATCAAGCTTTAAAGGTTTTCAGAGTTGGACCCTGTCCCCAGTCATCATCGCTCTGACGCACGCATAGCCAGTCTGTACTTCTATGACAAGGGAGGTGAGAGCGTCTGGTTCCCTGGGTAAGACCTGAGCTCTTTCTGAATCGATTCCACATCCTTCCATTCCTCTCCCTACCCCCTCGCAGTGCTGACCCGCAGTCAGGCTGTGAGTGCAGGGGGCACCCCTTCCCTTCAGTTTCCCTCCCAGACCAGGAGGAAGGCAGCAGAGCTGCGCCGCCCAGCGGGACTCTGCCCAGAAGAAGTGGCAAGAGGCGCGTGGCTTGAGCGTGTGTTTCCTTTCTCTCTAGTGAAGAAGTCTGCAAGCGAGGCTTCACGGTGATCGTGGACATGCGCGGGTCCAAGTGGGACTCCATCAAGCCCCTGCTGAAGATCCTGCAGGAGTCCTTCCCCTGCTGCATCCACGTCGCACTGATCATCAAGCCGGACAACTTCTGGCAGAAACAGAGGACTAATTTTGGCAGCTCTAAGTTTGAATTTGAGGTAACTTCCGTGTGTGGCCAGCCCAGCTACAACCACACCTATGGTTTAATGAAAAAAAAAAAAGATTTTTTTCCCCCCTTCTCATTGTAGGCTGGTATTAGATTTTTTAAAACCACATATTAGAGGGAACTGCATATCTTGTGTACATATGTGAAATTAGTTATGGCATGAAGTAACAAAAGTGGGCTCATTTATCGTGTCATCCTAGTGGGTCGCTTACCAAGGTGGGTTTGGGTGGCTCGTGAGGACGCTGTCTTGCAGACAGCGTATACAGCATTAATTTGTCTTCTTTCTACCATCACCACTCCTTCAGTTTCCAAGGCTCTGACAGGTTTGGTGCGGCAGTTTAATGAGCTGATTAGCGGAAGAAAGTGTCTGGCCAACTTGAAACTGGATTCATGCCGTACATATTCTGTAATAAAATTTGAAAATTTTCTAATAATATATTATAATAACTTTTGGTTCAATAGATTGCTTCTTCTAGCACCTTTTCCCTAAACATTAGGGTTCAGTGACTATATTCATGTATTTTAAGGTAAACAGTGTGGGGGTGCAAAAAATAATTTTTACCCCGCCATTCTACGTTTTCCGGCTGGTCTAATAATCTAATTAACAGGAGACAGGACTACAAGAAAATGTCCAGAATGTATCCCGGATGTATATGCAGGAGTGCCGTGAGGCTGAGGCCTGCAGACGCATTGGGAAGTTGAGGTTTATATACCATCCTGGACAAAGAAGGGGGAGGCAGGGTCTGGGATGCCAAAGGGAAAGCAGGTGGTTTGCAGGTCGCTGAGAAAGAGCAAACATGTAGAGTTCTTGCTGGGCCCCCAGAACCAGTGGGACGCAGAGGGGAGTCCAACAAGCAGCTCTGCCAGCCCCCTCCCCTCCCGGTAGTTTGTATCCTGGCGCCAGGTGATGCTCTCTTCCTTCAAGCAGCTTTTTCTCTCTGAAGCAAGTGAAGGGTCAGCAGTTTTTTCTGAGCTTATTGTTTCTTAATAACCAGCTTAAAATCCATGTCCCAAAAGGCATATTTTGAGGCAGCAAAACGTTGGTCCCCCTCAGAGCAATAATGGTATTAAACACATCGCCCAGTGTTAATCCTCAAGCCTATGTGACCTGTTACCCTCTTCAAAGTGGTGTTACTTCCATTTTTAAATCTCTTACCCTGCAACTGATTTTCCATCTGAAATCAGAATTTACTTTTGATTTGAAATTGTGTTGAAGAGATTTAGGTGAAACATGAAACCAGTAAGCCTTTATCTTCATATACAATTAGAAGTGATTTCGGAGGACAATATATTGGGTCTTACTATTTTCTTGATGTCACATTTAAAGTGTGTTGCATTTACTGATACATGTTTTAAGCAGACGAATGGTTTGGCAAAATAATTCGCGCAAGGTTTTGCTAGTTGAAATTTGATCTGTCCCCTGGCCTTCGAGGTTACCGAGACCGGTTTTTCCATTGAACTTGTTTGCCCCCAGGGACGTTATTAAAAGTCCAGGCAGATGAGACGGGAGTGAACTGCAGTCACGTGGCAGCAGAAGTGCTTGCTAAGGAGCAGCCCCTCTTTGTAGCTTGGCTGCCTTCGCGGTTTCTTACGCCAAACGGCACCGAGGTACAGGCGTAGGTTTCTCTAAGGCTGGAGGTGCAGGTGGGACTCCACCCGCCTTTTTCTCTTTCCTCTTTTGGTTCTAGGCCATGGATCTTCCTCCTTTACCTTTGTCGTTGCATTTAATCACCCCACCCTCCGATGCTTTCCTTGAAGCATAATTCTTACCTAATCCTGCAGCAGGTCTGACAGGTAGGGTGAGGCCAGGATTTCCTGTTTAGGTTGTAATTGACTAAAACTGTATCACAGTGCAACACTTGTACTGCTCAGAATCTAGCGAAGAAACCTTCTGTCTTTACCTTTGTGAAAAGAGCTTCTGCCAGCTTTCTGGCTAACCCTTGTATGTTTTCTACATTTTAAAAAGCCATTCATGTCCGCTGAGGTGTTACCTGACGGGAGGTGGAGTTTAGGAAGGGGAATGGTGAGGGTGGTCTGGTTGGAGCAGCGCTGGTCCGTCCCTTAACAAGCAGCCCCCACACAAGTGTCCTTAGTGGGAGGTGGTGCTCCAGAGGGATTTTGGGGCCCACGAACAGAATGCAAGCGTGACTGCGGGGAGACGGAAGCCTGGGCAGAGTTCTCTGCTGGGAGTGAGATGGTGGACGGGTGTGGATGAGGAAGGCTGTCTCGCCAAAAGGGAAATGTCAGACGTGCTCTGTTCTTGGCAATTTGACACATTTCCTGGTTGATGTGCCTAAAATCGAGGGTTAGTGTCCACATTCTTGGAAAGAAATCTAATATCTTTTTAAAAAATATATATTTTATTGATTTTTTACAGAGAGGAAGGAAGAGGGATAGAGAGTTAGAAACATCGATGAGAGAGAAACATCGATCAGCTACCTCCTGCACACCTCCCCACTGGGGATGTGCCCGCAACCAAGGTACATGCCCTTTACCAGAATCGAACCTGGGACTCTTCAGTCCGCAGGCCGACGCTCTAGCCACTGAGCCAAACTGGTCAGGGCGAAATCTAATATCTTTAGCTCTCATGAAATACATATAAGTCTAAAATTTTAGATATTCCAAGTAACATACATGTGTTGCTCTAATGGGTTTATTTTCACCAACTATACTGTAGGGCTTCATTTACTTATATCTATGGGGCCAGAACAAGGTATGTTATGTTTTCTATAAATAGATGACCTGCTTTAAGTTTGAAGATCTGTGCCTAAACTGTTTTATGCTAACTAAGACCATACAGAGTTGGTTCATCTTCTCATACCTGTTTTTTTCTCCTAAGACAAACATGGTCTCTTTAGAAGGCCTTACCAAAGTCGTCGACCCTTCTCAGCTAACTCCCGAGTTTGACGGCTGCTTGGAGTACAACCATGAGGAATGGATTGAAATCAGAGTTGCTTTTGAAGATTACATTAGCAACGCCACCCACATGCTGTCCCGGCTGGAGGAGCTTCAGGACATCCTGGCCAAGAAGGAGTTGCCTCAGGATTTGGAGGGGGCTCGGAACATGATCGAGGAGCATTCCCAGCTGAAGAAGAAGGTGATTAAGGCCCCCATCGAGGACTTGGACTTGGAGGGACAGAAGCTGCTCCAGCGGATCCAGAGCAGCGACAGCTTTCCCAAAAAGAACTCAGGGTCAGGCAACGCAGACCTGCAGAGCCTCTTACCCAAGGTGTCCGCCATGCTGGACCGGCTGCACTCCACGCGGCAGCATCTGCATCAGATGTGGCACGTGCGGAAGCTGAAGCTGGACCAGTGCTTTCAGCTGCGGCTGTTTGAACAGGATGCTGAGAAGGTAAAGGAGAGGGAGAGGGATGCTCAAAGGGAGGACACAGGGAAGCTTTCTGGATCGTTTGGTCTAGAGCAGTGGTTCTCAACCTGTGGGTTGAGACCCCTTTGGCGGCTGAACGACCCTTTCACAGGGGTCGCCTAAGACCATCCTGCATATCAGATATTTACATTACGATTCATAACAGTAGCAACATTACAGTTATGAAATAGCAACGAAAATAATTTTATGGTTGGGTCACAACATGAGGAACTGTATTTAAAGGGTCAGAGGGTTGAGAACCACTGGACTAGAGAAAGGGCTGAGGCAGAGTAATCGACTCTCACGGTGTCGGTTAGAGACTAGAGACGGAGAGTGTCAGTTCCGGGACCGCCCCTAAATCTGCTTCCCATGGTCATTCCCTGTGCAGTGCAGTACTATTTTAGAAACTTCGAGTTGTTAATTACTGATAGTTTCAAATGCCTTTAAGATAGACAAGAATGATATCTTTGGCTAAAAGAGTGTATGTTTTATAGCATTATATTATTGAAAGCAATAGTATGTACAGGGTGTCCCTAAAAATGTATATACACTTTAACAGCTTATAGCTCAATTTTGAAAATTAAATGTATTTTAATAAACACTGCCTTATAATTACTCAAAGTGTGTGCATACATTTTTGAGGGGACACCCTGTATGTATGTCATTTGCTAATTTCTGCTCTTCCACACATACAAAGCCAGTGACAGTACACCATTCAGCTCTATTTTTAAAAGGGTGAATAATTAGTTGAAATTAATAGTTTCTGGGAAGTATAGGCAATAATAATAATTTATAGTCTCATATCTTATTCTTGTGCTCCAGATAAACCAACTACTCAGCGAGCATTCTTGCCAGTTATCGGCTAACTCAGTCTTAGCCATGGGAAAGCAGTGCACTTCTTTATGGGAATGTGATGCAAGCCATGGGTGTGGGTGAATTGGTCACTATTCATTTGACCTCATGGACTGTTTTTCATGGACAGGAGAATGTTTTGTAAAGTAAAACAAACAAAAAAACTACATTAGAAATAAAGGACCCTTCGAAAGGTGACCCTCCAGTACTGTTCTTTGGTAAGCTTTTCACATACCTGTCAGTGCACTTAGGTTTTAGGTGCTGCTTTGTCAAAGACACTGACTTCTAATTATTAAAAAACCCCACAAAACAGGTGGCCATCTCGGATTCTGCTTCAAGGCACAGTATCAGTGCTAACTGATAGGCGTTTATCCTATATAATAAAAGGGTTATATGCAAATCGACCGAACTGAGGAATGACCAGTCGCTATGATGCACACTGACCACCAGGGGGCAGACGCTCAATGCAGGAGCTGCACCCTGGTGGTCACTGCGCTCTCACAGGGGAGTGCCGCTCAGCCAGAAGCTGGGCTGACGGCTGGCAAGTGCAGTGGCCCACCTCTGCGGCAGCACTAAGGATGTCCGACTGTGGGGAGCAGGCCTAAGCCGTCAGTCGGACATCCACTGAAGGGGGGGGACCCCTGATCCAGTGCACGAATGTCGTGCACCAGGCCTCTAGTTTTTCTTTAAATGCTTTCCTTGTGAACAACGTAGTCTACATCCTTATTCAGATAGTCTCTCCATTATGTCCTTGTTAAATTTTTTCCCAATTCTTTTTATTTTCACAGTAAATTTTATTGTACTGTTTTGCCCAGGTTTTTTGTTGTTGTTGTTGTTGTTTACTTCTTGCATTCAAGAACATTATCTTATAGTCTTTGGCATTGCTATCACCAAAACCCACCCAGAGATGATAAATCCCTAGTACCTAACAGGTCTTTAGTTGAAGAGTAGTTTGGGCCATTAAGTAGTTCAGTATAGCTTGGGGGCTGGGTTGAGAGTCAAAAGATGAGTTTGTCATTAGCCTGGGGGACTTGAATATCTTTGCTCCATCCACCCTCATCTGTCAAAGGAACCATCTGTTAGATAAGATTTTCTTACAGGACCGGTTTGGCTAAAAGGGTGCTAACTTCTGAGACATCAAGAATCCTGGACCCAAATGCTGAGAGGTTATTGAGGAAGAACGTTGCCGGGCACATCTTTGGCCCTGTTCCCGGGTAAGATTTTCTTACAGGTCCTGCAGGTTCAGAACTGTGCTAACTTCTGAGACATCAAGAATCCTGGACCCAAATGCTGAGAGGTTATTGAGGAAGAACGTTGCCTCTTCTGCGTTTGGCCCTGTTCCCGGGTTCATGTCAGTTCATTTCTTTTTCCTGGAGTGATTCAGGTTGTCTTTTTCGTTCTGGTAGATGTTTGACTGGATCACACACAACAAGGGCCTGTTTCTGAACAGCTACACTGAGATTGGGACCAGCCACCCTCACGCTATGGAGCTTCAGACGCAGCACAACCACTTTGCTATGAACTGTATGGTAAGACTGCCGGGATAGTTGTATCCTGTGAGGGAAGGGATTTTAGGGAATGGGACACACACAGATCACATCCCAGCATGCAGCCAGGAGGCCATGTGGGCCTTCAGAGTTTCTGATTTGATGATAGCCGCTGACCTCCAATGTCCAGTTCTCAGTGCTCACAGTGTCTAAGTAGCTTGTTTTCAGTTTTCAACAAACAAAAATGTAAACAAGCAAATCAACTAACCAATGAAACTTGCACCAGCTACGTGGCCAGTTCACCATGGATGGTTTTGGTGCCCATTCCTGTGCTCCGCCCCTTGGAGCTGCAGGGTGCTGGGTGCCACCGTGTTCCCTGACCTGCGCCAGAAGTAATGGGGGTGTGGAGAAGGCACTCTGCGCAGACCAGCACTCTGTGAGCACAGTCTGTGTAAGGACATGAAAGTGATTCAGGAAACTAATGGGTTCGAGGGGCAATGGTACCCACAGTGGGTCCCACAGCAGAGCCGTCCACATGGACAGCTCGTGTCAGGATTCTAACCGAGGGCATCTCCTTGAACTGTTCCTCTTTAAGGGGACAGAGAAAGCAAAAATGAGCAAATGTCATTACCTGGCACTAGAGATAGAGCATGCGTATGCGAAGGGGCCAGGGACTTAAAGGACACTAGTTATAAGCATTAATGCCGCAGGAGCCAGGGAAGCCAGTTCCCTGCTGACTGTGGCCTTGACTGACTGTCACAAGCTCACAAAGTGTCCTCCCTCCCTGACACTGTCAACACCCCTCTGTTAGCTGAGTCTAGCTTGCACACGCAGCCCAGAAAAGTAATTCAGAGGCTGCATGCCGTCTGTGGCTCGCTGATCCCGGGCATAGGCGACTCCTCCTAGTTAGATTTGGGGCAGAAATGAGTAAAAGACTGTACAGGGGAAGAACGGACAAGTGGATACACTTTCTTGGGTGAGCTGCAGTCGAGGTAACAACCACAAGGCTCTTGCAGAGGTCTGGGTGCCAGGCCGTGGGAGGCTGGCCCACAGGACCAGTGTGGGAAGGGAAGAAAAATGTAGAGAAGTTTGGACAGGGAAGGTAGTGAGATGTAGGGGCAAGATTGGGAGGAGCCATAGTTGTGTCTGTGATTTGGGGGACTATAGAGAGCACAGTGTTCTGATGCGTCACAAAGCATCCTAAGTGTGTGAATACAACAGCCTGGGCTTTGTGGAAGGTGTGTATCCCCGCCCCAGCCTTGGCTGAAATGGGACTTCAAAGAAGATGGAAGGTGGAAAGGGAAATATCATAGCGAAAACCTGTTTTGCAAAAAGCGCAGTTTTTTTAAGCCTCGCTCCCTTATTTTTGCGGGACACGGGTGGACCTGAAGATAGGAATCTCAGCAGAGTAGAAAAGCTTGATTTAAAATTTGAACAAAGCATTGTTCTGTGTCCCAATTCATATTCCTTGGAGAAAGTGCATCCATTTAGAGAATATTTTCAGTTGGCACAAAAAAGAAGACTTGGATTTACGGAGAAAGGAGAGCTTGTTTTCACACAAATAGCCTTGGGTGGCTACGGACATATTTAGTGGTTTCTGGGTCCTAGTTAGAAGCGGAACGGTTGGGGTCCTGCAGTTCTGGGTGACTGCTCGTCAGGCGGCTTGCCATCTGGACCCTTGTCAGGACCAGGAGCCAGGAAGTGAGTAATAGAGTGTTTGTGTGCACACACTTGTGCTTTTGACTGCTCTGGCCTAACAAGATGCCTTTCAGCCCGTGGATGTGTAATTTTGCAGCCTGACAAACAGAAAGGGAACCAAAACTCAGAGCCCTCGGAAATCCAGACAGCAAATAGGTATACCATTCTACCAGGTGACTCTGCTGTTAAGAATATCACTTTTAAGCGAATAGGCCGTGTTTCGGGAAATTCTATGCATGTGTTTTAAAGGAAGCCTCCTGTTTGCCTTCCGCTAAGGAGCCCTCTCTTTCTGCCCCTTCCCCAGAACGTGTACGTCAACATAAACCGGATCATGTCGGTGGCCAATCGCTTGGTGGAGTCCGGCCACTACGCCTCTCAGCAGATCAAGCAGATCGCCAACCAGCTGGAGCAGGAGTGGAAGGCGTTCGCCGCGGCGCTGGACGAGCGCAGCACCCTGCTGGACATGTCCTCCATTTTCCACCAGAAGGCTGAGAAGGTCAGTGCCCGTCACGGGGTGGGACCACCCGCTGCCCCCCGGCACCTCCCCCCTGCGGCCAGATCCTTGGGGGGCTTTGTGTGGCACCGAATCACCTGAGCTCTGCCAATGGTCAGCTGGCTTACCCCTCGCTGTGCAACCTGAGGCAGGTGGTTTAGCCTCCCGTTCCTCCGTTTCTCACTTGTAAAGTGGAAATCAGTTGGCTTGAGAGGAGTTTTACTGTGAAAATGAGATGATTCATATTAGGTGCCCTGCAGAGCGCCTGGCATACATACGGTGGGTACTAACAAGTGGTAGCGCTGTTCGTTACCCCTCTCCTCCCTCTTTTCTCCCCCCTCCTCGTTATCACTGCAAGACTCTAATGAGGATGCTGTGGCAGCAGGTAACAGGATGCCCGGCTGTCAGGCTTAAACATCAGGCCTTTGCTTTCCTCCCAAAACAAGAAGTGACAAAGTATAGGCAGTTCTAGCCAGAGCCGATGCCAGGGCTGGGCGCTCGACCGTGCGCTCATGGTTACAGGATGTAGGCCACAGCTCCCAGCACCAGCCCTCCACTTGGTGTCCGGGGAGTGCAGGCTGGCAGTGCGTGTCGTCGCCCATCACTTTGATCAGGGAAACGTTACTGTCAGGAGATCCCTCCGCCCACTGCTTTCCGTAGTCCAGGACTGGGTGCGGGGAGGGGAGCGGGGGACCCAGCTTCTTAGCCCCACCGCTGTAGGCAGGCCCTGCCAGCAAGGGCTGGGCGGACATGGCTTTGGGGCAGGCAGCTTTCAGTGTCGATCACAATTTTTAATGATTTGCATGGATTCTAACACATTGGCTTCATTGGCTGATGTGCTCGTCGAAATATCTTACTTAAGAGGTAATCTGTAAGGTGTGCCTGTACCACTCCCCACACCTCCACAATCCTTTCCGCAAACAAACTGGCTGGAGCAAGCAGCTGTGGAGGCAGCAAAAGGAGAGCGATGCGTTCCTGACCGAGACGGCAGCGTGGAAGGTGTGCTGGACAGGGACCTTCCTTCGCAGGTGTTGACAGCACAGGAGCCTGTGGCCACCGGGAAGGCAGGTGGGGAAGAGGCAAACGGTTGCCTTATTTTAAAGGGAAAATACTGATAGAGCTTTTTGGGGGGAAACTGTATTTATAGGGATTTGCACTGATGACTATAAGAAGGAAATAGTATCTCTTTAATCTAGAAGTGGTCTCTGTTGAGGAATGAAGTCAGTTGAGGTAAAACCGAGGCCCCAGCTTGCCTAGCTTTGGGCAAGGCAGCTAGAATGTTGCACAAGACACTAATTAGTAGTGATCTCAACTGTAGAGACCTTTAAAATGTGAAGCAAGAGAGGAAACGGTGGAAAAAAACCTTGATCGCCTCATGTGAAAGCCAAGCTGTAAAAAGGAACTTTCAGGTTTCAGTAGGAAGATTTTTCTGCTTATTAATATGCATTTAACTAGTTTTATGATTAAAGGATAAGTAAAGGCCCCTCCCCACAAAAGTAGCTCTTTTAAAGTAATAGGAACCCCCTTCAGGATCAGCTAGCGGTGTCTGCAGGGCTCTGACCCGTTCCGGTCCCTGTCGTTGTGCTGTACGCTGGGCATTATTGTGGGTGGGCAGATGAGCTGTGTGCTGCCCACCTACGTGTCAGCCGGAGTGGGAACCTAGCGTGAGGGGCAGCAACCCCTGGAACTGGGGCTGGGATGTAAGTCGGTGGTGGGCGCCCAGAAAGGTATGTCAGGATGCTGTGAATAAATTGGAAGCAGCACAAGCCGTCTGGGTGAATGGCAGGGAGTCCGAAGCATAATAACACATAAGGAAAATCTCTTTCGTAAACATAGTGGGATTCAGGCTTGTAAATACACCCGGAAGATTACTTGCTGCTCTGACCTGCCTGAAAATAATCTAGAAGTGTGAGCGCCATGGGGCATTTTCCTCCGCAATGTTTTATTATTAAACATTTCATCCTTGTAGCAAAGTTGAAAGAGACTGGAGTGTTTTTCCTTGGATAAAATGAGTGGCTGTAAGTTATGGATTTGAAGGAAACTAAACTAGATGAATATATTGAACAGAATTTCTTGGTATCCTGCATAAACAATAGCAATGCTTGAGGTCTCCATGCAGATCAAGTGGATAAGCAATAGCAATGCTTGAGGTCTCCATGCAGATCAAGTGGCCAAAGAAGTTAAATCCGAGCGTAGGGACGAAGTGGCAGGTGAGGCAGGGCCCGGCATTGTGGATGAACCTTGATGATGTCCTCAGAAAGTATTTCCTTCCCTCAAGCGAAAATGCAGTGTGTATCTTCCCTTCACTGAATAACAGTATGATCCTTGAAATTCTGATGCGGAGAAGGTCACATTTACTAACATGGCTTTCCTCTCCCAGGAGAGCAGTTCCAGGACTAGGCCAGCTTTGTCCCTTCTTTTTAAATGCTTTACCTTCCAGTGATGCGTAAGCTGTTTTCCTGACCTCAGGAGGGAAAGGACCAGAAACTTTGGACGTCACAGGCTAGAGGTCCATCATAGCCACCTCTCTGAACGCCATCAGAATTCTCATTAAGAATTTCAGTCTTTTCAAGGGAACATAGGGCTCAAATACGCGACCCTGTGCGAGTGGTCAAATGACAGGAAGAGGCCTCCCCTCTCGGGACAGAGCTGCCAGGGAGGGACACGTGTGTGCTGAGCTCCCCGCCTCGCTCCTCTCTCTGTGGATGCTCTGGTGTTGGTATTTGCTTGTGGGTTCATGAACATGAACCTAGAAGTTAGAACTATAGGAGAATGATGTTTTGTAGATGTTCTGCTTTCGGAAGATGCCTGGGCCACTCTGTCTCATGTCCTCATCTCCAGGATATCAGTTTGTCAGTGTGGGGGCATGACCTCTCTGTCAGCACTTTCACCAGCAGATGGCGCTGAGGGCTCCAGCTTTCACTTTCTGGTCATGTAGTATAGCCACTGGACAGCCCCTTCCTATTAAAAGCTCCCAAGGCAAATGTTATTAGAATTACATTTTTGTAACATAAAGAAATAAAGTGACTTGGTTTTACTGCACCTTAAAGTCTCCCATTTTTACTATTAAATAATGTGATCTCGAGCCACACTGTCAGTATGTAGCCCAGTCAGCACATGTGGCTACTGAAGTTCCTTCACATTCACTAAAATATATTAACAAGGTAATTTGAAAGCTGAACGAAATGGAATTCACTTCCTTAGTCACAGGATGCACAGTGCGGACGCTCAGGAGCACGTGGGCTTGTGGCCACGTTTACTAGGCGGAGCAGGTCACAGGGCCGTCACTGCCGAAGCGCCTGTTAGTGCTGATAGTGGCTGACCTTCCGAGGGACCCATAAGTCTGATCACCTTATTTATCTGTGACTTTAAGGGCCGCTGACCTGATAATATCCAAAAAGAAAGTAATAGCCAGTATTTGCATGGCTCTTTAAACTTCACAGCTCTTAACACAAAGCCTCATTTCCTCCTTCAGTCAGGCCTGTGAAGTACATGGGGCTGCTGTCCTTGTCCTTATGTTCTGTTTGGGGAGTGACTTGCCTGTGGTCTCAAAGCTTGGGCTTTCATTATTTGAAGTTTTCATTATGAAAATCTTTTAGTTCCTGAGATGACAGCACACGATTTCAGAAACAAGCTCTTAAAGGTTATAGAAGGAGCCTGACCAGTGTGGCTCAGTGGTTGAATGTTGACCTATGAACCAGGAGGTCATGGTTGGATTCCCGGTCAGGGCACATGCCCAGGTTGCGGCTCGATCCCCAGTGGGGATGTGCAGGAGGCAGCTGATCAGTGATTCTCTCTCATCATTCATTGATGTTTCTATCTATCACTCCTTCTCTCTTTCTCTCTGAAATCAATAAAAATATTTTAAAAAGAAATTATAAGTAAACTACTTTTACTATAGGCATTTGTAAAAGTTCTTGAATGTTTCTCTTTATTGGTTGCTTCAAAATTGGAGTTGACTATATTTCAGTTGTCATGTGGATACACCGACACACTAGTCTGACACTTCTGCTTACTGTGAAGTGTTATATAACTAAAACCGTCCCTGTTACATAGGAGGCGCATTGCCTCTTGGGAATATGTTGTAACTCTGCTTTGCTTGGGGTGTGCTGTAGTGACCCGTGTGCAGCAGCCATTAATTAGTGACTTAACCTGGTGATTTATTAATGATGCTGGTTAACCTCAGTCAACTCATAATTGAAAAAGGTTTATAATAACTTAATAATTGGTGTTAAATGCAATAATCAAAGAGGAGAGAGTGAAATGGAGATCAGGAATAGTTGGACTCATTCAACCTGACCTAATTGACATTTATAGAACACCCCACCCCAGAAATACTTAAAAATATGCCTAATGAGTCATGCCTGCATCTATGCAGAAGGGGAGCGGTAAAGTAAGTTATAACACTTCCATGGCCTTGAGGATGTGAGGCAGGTGCCACACGGGGGTGAGGAAATGCTCCCTGTGGGTGTGTGGTTTAGTCATGTTTGAAGCCAACAGAAACCACCTGCTATTCGATGGCACTTAATGCCTTATCATTGCTCTCAAGTCCTAAGATTTGCACGCAGATATTTTTCTGAGCCAGTACATAAATGATAAAGGGATTTTTATAAACAGTTGTTATTTGGATAGCTTGTCTATTTTAAGTTTCTAAAAAGTCCTAAGTACTTGGGAGGGCAGGTCAGTGACCCCATTTTAACTCGTCACCGCCGGCATCCCTGGTAAGCAGCAAGGCAGTGTAAACTAGGTGAAGCCCAGAGAAATGTGTCCCTGTCTAGTTGGCTTAACTGAGTTAGCATCCCTAATGGGGCCTTCTGCCGGCTTGCCTTTGACACTCAACATGATGCATGCTGAGAGGATCTCCCTAGGACATTTGGCAGTGGTTTCTCAGCTATTGATGAATTCTGGGGAAGTGGGGGTGGCCGCGGGGGGAGGGGGCTTTTGTTGTTGTTGTAAAAAGTCTGCAGCCTGCGACTGACACTCTTGTTTAACTTGCAGAGTGGGAGAGGCTGGCACGACCCTCGCCTCCCTCAGCCCACCCTTAGGTTCTGGCACACAGCCTAGGAGTTTGGAGGCCTTCATTGGGTTGTCTTTTAATCCTGTTTGTATTTGCTTTTGAAAAGGTAGAAAAAATGGTCCTGTTGCTCTTTCTGATGTTAGGTAAATGATTTCAGATGTTCACCATTAGCATTTTAAATTTTTTAATTACAGTTGTCATTCAGCATTATTTTGTATTAGACAATCATATTCGTTATAAAGTGCTCCCCCCAAGGTCTCAAGTACCCACCTGGCAACATGCATAGTTATCACACGATTATTGACTATATTCCCTGTGCTGTGCTGTACATCCCCACGACTGGTGTGTAACTACCAATTTGTGCTTTTTTATCTCTTTACCCTTTTCACCTATTCCGCAACACCCCCTCCCCCTGCAGCCATCTGTTCTCTGTGTCTGTGAGTCTGTTTCAGTTTTGTTTTGTTTATTTTGCTCTTTAGATTTCATATAAGTGAAAACATGATATTTGTCTGACTGATTTCATGTATCATAATACCCTCATACCCTCTTGGTTCATACTATCTCAAATGGTAAGACTTCATTCTTTTTTTGTGTCCAATATTCCCTTGTATATACAGGGTGGGGCAAAAATAGGTTTATAGTTATGGGTACACGAAACACAGAGTTTATTCTTGAATTAGTATTTATAATTGTTGTATTGTTTTCCATACAAGCAATGGTAAACCTACTTTTGCCCACCCTCTATGTACCACAGCTTTTTTATCTGTTTTGCTATTGATGGCCACTTCAGCTGCTTCCATATTAACATGGCAATTGATACAGGGGTACATATATTCTTTTGAATTGGTGTTTCGGGTTTCTTCAGATATATACCCAGAAGTGGAATGGCTGGGTCATAAGGCAGTTCCATTTTTAATTTTTTGAGGAACCTTCACACTGTTTTTCATGGTGATGACACCAATTTGCATTCCCACCAACAGTGCACTAGGGGTCCCTGTTCTCCACATCCTCACCAACACTTGTTTGTTGATTGATTGGTGGTAGCCATTCTGACAAGTGTGAGGTGACATCTGTTGTGGTTTTAATTTGCATTTCTCTGATGATTAGTGATGCTGAGCATCTATTCGTATGTCTATTGGCCAACTGTGTATCCTCTTGGAGAAATGTCTATTCAGGTCCTCTCCCAGTTTTTAATGGGATTTTTTTTTTAAGCTGTTGAGTTGTATGAGGTCTTTATAAATTTTGAATTTTAACTTTCTCTCGAATGTGTCATTGGTGAATATCTTCTCCCATTCAGTAGGTTCTCTTTTTATTTTGTTGATGGTTTTGCTGCGCAAAACCTTTTTAGTTCGATGTAGTCCTGTTTGTTTAATTTTTGTTTGTTTCTTTTGCCTGAAGAGATATATCAGAAAAAATGTTGCTCAGAGAGACGTCAGGGATTGGCTGCTTGTGTTTTCTTCTAGGAGTTTTCCAGTTTCGAATCTTACATTTAAAGCCTTTAATCCATTTTGAGTTTATTCTTATATGAGGTGTAAGAAGGGGGCTAAAGACAGTTGTTCAGTAAGTAGTATTGGGAAAATTGGACAGATATATGCAAAGTAATGAAACCATTAGCAACTGAATGAAAGAGGAAAGCAGGAGGGCTGGACGGCTCTGGGAGAGTTGCACTGCTATCCTGCTGGGTTGGAGGCTGACACAGCAGGGCAGTTAGAAATGTGAATTTAGCGTTGGAGTTGGAAGATTAACCGGCATGCCCAGAACAGCAATGCAGGGCAGAGCTGCTCCAGGTGCGCCCCTGGACCTGGCCCCAGAGACCCCCGAGGTCATCATTTCAGGTGCAGGTTCCCGGGCCCAGCCCCAGCTCTGCCAGAACCTAAACCAGGGGTGGATTCTAGGAATCCAGTTTGAGAATTCATGGGAGAGCCATTTGAGATGGAGATTCAACCAGGTTCTTAGAATGTCTCAACTACCCTTATTTCAAAACCACGTTAAAGAATAGCCACTTCTCACTATACATCGCCATTGATAGATATCATCTTTTTTTTAACCTTCCAAGTACATGAGCAACGTGGACTCGTGGTGCAAGGCCTGCGGAGAGGTGGACCTGCCCTCGGAGCTGCAGGACCTGGAGGACGCCATCCACCACCACCAGGGCATATACGAGCACATCACCCTGGCGTATTCCGAGGTAGGCGGGCCTCTCTACTACGTTTGCAAAGCAACGTTATTTTTGTGTCATAGCACGAAGGCTAGGGAAAAAGGAAGTTTGGGCTGGCCTACAAGAACCTTTTGATTTTTGAGTGAAACTTCAGTTTTATTGTAACTTTTGAACTTGAGTAGGGGGTGACAGCTAGTAAGGAAAAGAGGGTGGTGGTGGTTGGCAGTGAGCAGACCTTTCACGCCTGTGACACTGTGGGTGTCCTTTAGAGGGCTCAGGTTTTCATCTGCTAGTCTCTGAAACCCCGGTCTTCTTGTCTCCAGGTTTCAGGAAACACGTGTTTGCATGCTCTTCAGACTGGTCACACTCCAGTTAGCCCCCTGAGTGAGCGTTCCAGAAAAGAGGCAAACCCGATGCCGCCTCATGCTCTGCCTTGCAAAGCACACACTATTTTTTTTCAAATCTGAACGCTGCTCGCTGCTGTAGAAATCTCAGGGTAGTGTTATTATTTTAGGGTAAATTATTTCATGTAATTACCCTGGTTTATTTCTGCCACCTTCCTCTGTGCAGGCTTTGTTGTAAGGACTTTATATATTACTGCTCACAAGTCTGGGGCATGTACTGTATTATCCCTGCTGTTACAAACGAGGAAACTGAGGCTTAGCGAGGAAGTGACAGGTCAAGAGCTGTAGGAGGTGAAGCCGGAACGTGAGCCCTGACAGGTCGGCTTCACCTTCTCAGCTGCCTTCTGTCATATCATGTTAGTGATGATGACAACTATAGGTGGGTCAAGGCATGTCACTTGTGGGTCGTTTTTTTATGTTTTTATTGATTTCAGAGAGTGGAAGGGAGAGGAAGAGAGAGATAGATTGCCTCCTGCATGCCCCCTTCTGGGGGTTGAGCCTGCAACCCAGGCATGTGCCTTGACTGGGAATCAAACCATGACCTCCGGGTGCATGGGACAACGCTCAACGCCTGAGCCACGCTGTCCGGGCAGAGGGGGGCACAGAGTAGATGTTTAGTAAATCTTTAAATCCAAGTCTTCCTTGATGTGAACCACATCCACTGTGAAAGTCGTGGGAAGAAACTGGCCTTTTGTTTTGAGTCTGGCACCTCCTGCTTCCCCAAGAGGTTGGCACTCTCCTGTCCTAGGCCCAGGTCTCCTGGCCCCCAAGTGCCGAAGTGGGAATTAAACGTTTGCTTTGGAATGTGGTCAAACCTTCTTCCCCTGGAAGTTGATATCTACATGCTTGTTTCTCTTGCTCCCTTTGTGCCTAACAAGATCCCTTTATCTCTCAGCACTATTTTACGCTGTCCATGGAATTAAGAATAGTTACCTCTATAAACACTTCTTTTTTAAAAAAAATATATTTCATTGATTTTTTACAGAGAGGAAGGGAGAGGGATAGAAAGTTAGAAACATCGATGAGAGAGAAACGTCGATAAGCTGCCTCCTGCACACTCCCTACTGGGGTTGTGCCCGCAACCAAGGTACATGCCCTTGACTGGAATCGAACCTGGGACTTTTCAGTCTGCAGGCCAATGCTCTATCCACTGAGCCAAACCAGTTAGGTCTATAAACGCTTCTTAACTTTACATCAGTGTTTACTAGCTAGTTTGATTATCTAGTTTTTTTAGGAACCACATCAATAAGTGATAGCCTTTTTATGGTAAAAATGAGAATTGAACAGATCTGTAATTTTGTATTGCAGTGATTCATGAAGATTTTGTGTCAAATGCATTAAGTTCTTTCCCGCGTGTACTGTCTCTGTGCATTGTCTGATTTCGACCTGGAATATAGAAAGTGAATGGCCTGTTATCCACCGTGGAAGGGGGTCTTCCAAGGAGCTGGTTTTGATTTCAGTGATGGGTTCCTGCCCCCGTGGGACTGAGGAGCTCACACACAAGGGGACCAGGTTGGCAGGAGCTGGGCTGCAGCCTTTGCCTGCGTGACCCGACCATGTCATGCTCTGGCCCAGCTGCTGGTTCAGCCTGTCTGTTGCCCTGGGTACTGCTAGCAAAGCACAGAGTTTTCTCACTGTTACCACTACATTCTATGAAAAGGGCATCTTGACATGGGAACTGTGTTTACCTGTGGTGCCAATTCATTAGATTTCAAGTTGGCACTAATAATTCAATGGCACGTAGAGAGCTTCCCAAGCTGGGGTCTTAAACCACAGATTTAGTCTAAGTACTTGTTTGCAACTGCTCCATACACTCCAGGAGACAGTCATTTGAACCAGGTAAATGGAAAGATTTTCTATCTCTCTGCCTCTCTGAAATAAGTAAAAATATATTTTTAAAAAGAGAAAGTTTGCCCTTGATGAGCATTTTGTGAAGAGATATACTGATGTAACAGGTTCAGACTTCTCATGGCCTCCGCCCACATCCTCTGGTGACGCCTGCCGTGTCGGTGGCCACTGTGGTGGCTGTCTGACAATGGCACTTATTTCCATCACTCCTCTGTATTCATTGGGCGGCCTTTTCTGCGTAACAAAGAGCTTTATTCTCATGCATCCATTCATTCATTCAGTATGGATTTATGAAATCTTTTTTATATTCAATGGGCTATAATCCAATACTCTATTTGATGCCTAAATTGTCCACATTTGGCTAGCAGGAGTCCCTTTTTTGAGTTTTTGATACATCCATCCTTATCATTTTTGAGCATTACTTTGTGGCATACCAAGATGGTCCCCAACTCATCTTGTCCTTTCCCTGCATCGTCCCTGAGGTTAACCATCTCACCAAGAAGTTCTGGTTCCTGTGCTGTTGTGTGGTATTTAGAAACTAGGATCTGGGTGCTTGCGAGGGCTTGTCTACCTGTGGGTGTCAGTGCTTCTAGGCTCTCTGAGCAGTTAAGAGTCAGGAAATATGTATGTTAATGTCCATCCGTCCATCCATCTGTCCATCCATCCTTCCATCCATCCACACACATCCACAACTACTGCCCCATCTACCTGTGTCTATCTCTACTTTAAAACTGCGTGTGTTTTTACTGGTGCTTCCATTTCTGATCCGGTCCTCAGTTCTCTCCAGCTTTCCCCATCTGTTTATACATTCCTCCCAGACAGCAGTGAAACCGGCTCCCTCAGTGTATGAACGCATTTGTTTACTCAGTGCATTTGCTCAACCTCCCAACCTTTCTGCCTGGCCTCTGTGAGCCCCTCACCCTGCCCACCCACTTCCTCAGAATGCCTGGCACCATGTCCTCCATGCCAGGAGGGGCGGGGAAGAAAGATGGGAAGGAAGGGCTGTCATGCTTTTTAAGTGTTTTTGTTTTGTTTTGTTTATTTCCTAAATAAGTGGTTTTCTAACTTGGGTGTTCTGGTTAAGAGTGCAGTTTCTCATAACACATACCCCCCTCTTCCCATGAATCTCCAGCTCAATGGGCTCTTTTAGTGATTCAGCAACTGAGGCAGATGCTTCACAGACCACACACCGAGACCGCCTTCCCTGTCCCACAGGCGGCGGGTCTGCTCAGTGGACATCCATCCACGGAAGCTTCCTCTGCCTCTGTGGGTGCAGGGTCATTAAGGTTTGGGATTTTACAAGCAAGTCTTGCTCTTCCTTTTTCTTTTCTCTTGTCCTCTCCCTCCATCCCACAATTTTTCTCTTTCAACCGTGTCTGTAGTTTTCAGTATCTGATGATAGTAAGTTTGCAGTGGGAAATCAATCTTCCCCCCACTTTTTCCTCAGGACACAAACGCCTGCTTTTCTGTGTTTTAATTAGACCTGTCCCACGTTGTTCCGTTTGTGTTTTAGCAACAGGAGCATACTGTGCCTGGTAAACATCCCTTGCGGCAGCTCGCCAGGTTTGGGCTCGTTTGATGGAGTTGATCACAGGAGAGTGAAGCCATAGAAACGCCTGGGATAAGCTCTAGTTTTAGAAACAGCATAGAGACTGGTTATTTTTAACATTTCATTTTAAGCAAGCAAACTTATCAACTACTTTCTCAGCAATCTGAATTCATACAAATGACTATCTCATATGCCCATGCCATCCTGGAAACCTGAACATCAAGTATGGGATTGTGAGGCAAGACTGTGGACAGATCCATGCACCTGCTGAAGGTCCCGGCCCTGCAGCGCGGCCGGCGGTTCCTGGAGGAGAAGGGTGAAGCACCACATGTCTGTCCCGCTCCGATCCAGTGCGACTCCAGAGTTTAGTTTCTGCATCACTTTTCCTCAGTTTAGCAAATACGCTGACCTATTGCACACTTCGGCAGGCTTCATGGAAGGGGCTGATTTGCTGCCTGCACAGCGGGCCAAGCTCCTTTTTGAAGGCACTGGATACATGGTGATGTTGTGATTTGTGTTATTGGCATGGGAGAAAACAGACAGTCAAGTGCGTCCCCTGGCTAGTACGCTTACTGAGATCACGTGTCCGCGGTGTGTGTGGAAGCTCGTCTGCCTCACTCCAGAGGAACGCCCGGAAGCTGTTGATTCTGAGCCTCATTAAGTATTGCAGCATCGCTGGAGGTGTGCAGGTGCTGCCGTCAACGTTTGGCAGCACATCAGAGCCCACAGGCCGCACGCAGTCTCCCTCCTCCCCCCAGACAACGTGCAAGGTCTTGAAATCCAGGAGCGGAAAAGGTCAAGCCCACGCGGAATCTACAGAACACACGTGTTCTCTGCGTGAATCTGACTTACTACCTGGGCTACCCCAGCAGTTTCTGGTCTGTCTTGTTTCGGTTTTTCCTTTCTGGTAATCCCAGGTAGAGGTGTCAGAGTGAGACACAGTTAGGGTGACCTGGTTTTGAGTAAGAAACTAATAATCTAAAAGAAATAGTACAGCCCTCCACAAGCTGATGTCTAAGAACTCACCTGGGAAAGAACCGTCTCAGGGGGGGACCGAGAGCTCTGAGGGGAGCAGGCTGCCTTCCCTCTCTCAGGCGGCCTTCCTGAGGCTGGGAGAAGACCTTGGCTTAGGGGACCTTCCAGAAGGTCACTGGCCTGTGCTACTGGTAGGAGCTTCTCCATGCAGCCCTGTTACAGGTTTGACCTCCTTCCACAAAGGCGAAGTGTGC